GCGGTTTAGGTCAAATATTTCTCTATTGGCATACTTAAGCTATTCATCCATTCCTGAGCCATTCCAAGATGCTGAGGGTGGAAGAGCTAAATGAGAAATAGTAGAATTATCTCACTGATGCAATAGCTTAAATATTTAGCAAACTATGTTGCACCTAGTTGTTGCCAAGTAGTGTTCAAATCAGTTATTACGTGGTATGTCATCTGATAGCAATAAAATTCCTTCACTTCCCCATTCACTGTAGACCTCTGTCAGAGAACCCCAGAGTACCAGTATTTGCTCCACAGATGGTGAAGAACAAACCAAACAGTCCTCTAAGCAGTTTTTCCCAGAACAACTTCCTAATATTACAGCTTCTGAACTACAAGCTACTACTTTATCCTCAAAGATAAAATAGATGATCTTATGCTATGTCCTCTTTTTCCATAAATACACTGGGCAGTAGCAGTGAAACACATTAAAATAATTTTCAATGGCACACTGATGTCTACTTTTCTTGACTACACTTTCCTGCCTCTGGAATAATGTAACCACATTTTTGAAAGCTTCATCACATATTTGCCAAAGTTTCTTAAAAGCTTGCAGATTTCCAAATTACAGAAATTGGTGCAAAGCACTCACTGCTGGGAAACTGGGAGTTAAGAGTTTCTGATGGTCTGTTTTTACATTCACTAGACACAAAAGAGCTAACATTTACTTCAGTAAGAGTTGAACTGGATGTGTAAAAGGGAATAAGTACATTATAACATTTTTTTCCTAAATAGGGGACATAATTTTGGGCATTAGAATAAACGCATTACTGAATGGGAAGATTACATCTGATGCTTCTGCCAATGTGAAAATATTCTTTTTAAAAATGAAAGAAGTAGAAAGAACCCCTGTGGATGCAACCACTTGGACACCAAAGAACCTTTGCTTAAAGACAACATGATAATTTTGTAATTAATTTCGAAGTCATTAATTTTTAAGTGCTCACATATTCAACCTAACTTTTTCAGTTAGGCTACTCCTGTGATAGTACATTTTATAGAAACAGCGCCTCAGTAAAAACATACCGCAGAAAACTGCTCACATGCAGTACTATGATTTGCATGTCTAAAATTCAATCAGCATTTTTTCTTTTCTACATCTTAACAAGACACTATGAATAAAATCCAAACATATATTTCTGTTGCATGATAAAATTCATTGTTGTGTTATTTCTTATAGGAACAGCTGAGGATATAAATGAAATTGGACCTACCTGGATTACAACTTAAAAAAAAAATTATTTACTATACAGTTCCTTGGTTTTCAGTGTTTAAAGTATCCGAGATGATTATGAAAATGGCAAGCTAGCAACAAACCTGATGGATCAAACCCGATACATCAAAAAAGATGCAACAAAAATGTCAAGTTGTCAAGTATCATGTATAAATCACAGGCAGTACTTGCCACAAGCGACAGGGAGATAACTTATCTAATGCCTTAGCAATGACATAGCTGACCAAACACCTAATAGAAAGACAGACATTTCTGCTTATATCTCAGAGACAGAAGCAACCAGTGATCCTAACCCAGCATCAAGACTGTACTGTTCTAGTTACAAAGACGTTCCTACCCCTCAGTTCATCTAAACGTGAATGCAACTTTAGACTACATTAAGTTCAGTTAAGCAT